GTAATACTTAGCAAAAATTGTATTGTGATTGTGGATTATAACAAATTTCTTGATGTCTCAATTAATATTCCGAAAATGAAATTAAAACTTTAAGCAATTGCATTTTTATTACAATAATTGCATGACGTTTTACTAAACAGTTACAGTTGGTACATAGTTTGCATTGCCCCAATTATCTATTTTAACTTCACTGATTTTCACATTTACCTTTCTTTATTGGACTTGATGAAGGTGTACTGAACAATCCGGATTGCTCGCTGTAAACTGGAATTTTTCTTTTGCGTTCTCTATGTAAACGTGAGTCGGAAAGTGAGACACCATTTGTGTGATCACAAATTATTTTCAATGTAGACTGAAATAATATGAATATAATAGTGAGATCTTGTTTGTACCAACTGCAACGATAGTAAGCATATATTACCTTGATGTCCGACATAGTAGCATAAAAGCCTTGAAGAATTGCAAGCGTTTTTAAAGTATTGGGCATCTTTTTCTGAGAAAGCCTTCCTAAGCATAATACATTTGTAGCCTTACAGTCCATGCCATAAGTTTCGTGGATCCACCCTTAACATGAGAATAAAAGTGAGTTAGTCACAAAATTCGAAATTTAATTATTATATATTTTTACCTATCCCACGATTGAATTCCAAGAACATATGTACTATGAAGCTATTTCCAGATGCATTGGGATTTGTTTTAAAAAAATTATACAGAACATCGTGCATTGCTATGGAAAGATCCACTCTATCCTCATGAATTTTTTTGCGATGTGCAACAGGGAGATTACCACTTCTAAGGCCAATAATGGCTTCAAGGTTATTAATGCTGTTTTTCAAAGTACCCCGAAAATCGCACTTTTGGCCTATGCGTGCTCGGAGGACTATTGAGCGTCCCTCGTTTCTTCGACGGGCAGAAGCCCAACAAGCAATTTCCCCGCTATAGAATTGTAAAAAAATTAATTACTACTTAAAGATTTACCCATTGTATTCTTATTTGTACTTACACATCCATTTTGAGATCACGTTTGTTTAAAAATCTTTTTGTTAACATATTTGGAAATGAATTGTCAAAGTCGGCTTCTGATATGGGAACTTCAAGATCCTTCAAATTTTCGGCACTGTGATAAAAGATTGGAAAACTTAGATAAAAATTATGTGATGTGCTGTAATCTATCAAATGCTAATAAATGAAAATAATTATTTTATTTAACTCACTAGGTAATAACGGCACATCTTAATCCATTAAAGATCTCCTTATCCTCATCACTGAATTTGACTTTTCTATTTTTTTCTATCATCTCCGGAGTCAAATCATCAATCGCATTGATAATATATTCATCATTTTTTTTGGATATCTAAAGATAGATCTTTCCTCAACCTTTTCCACTTCATTGAAAAAATATTAACAACATCTGGTATGTCTGATTAAACTAATTTTACTTCTTTTTTAAAGCTTTCATTTATTTCTTCCCAGTCATCTGTTGAAAAAAAAGGTTTTATTTGGGTGTCTTCTGTTAAATCAAGAATGTTCCAGTATGCGAGGCTATAAAGAAATTCTAAGATTAAATATAATCATCACTAACTTTTATGACCTTCGTCAATTCAAAAAACTTACTTCAAACATTTATGAGCCCCAGGAATTGTCTTAACATATTTTGCTAACTCGTCTCCAACGTTGGTACCACTTTTGAGAACCCACGATCGATGAGTAGTTGGTTGATTTTCTTCTCCACGTTCTATGAAGTTATTATAAATGTCGCTATCATCGATACCATCTTTATAAACCTTGTCGTCATTACCCTTGCTTATAAAAAATTCTTCGATTTCGTTTATATCTTCCTCTTCCTGATCTTCCTGATCTTCCTGATCTTCTTGATCTTCTTGATCTTCTTCACTTATACCTAAGTTGGTATTTTTTGCCAATGATTCGTCCTGTAATAAAAATTTTCATAATCGTTTAATATTTATGGCAAGTCCTTTAGTTATTTCTGAATAGTAATAACCTTACCTTGTTTAATGACAACGTGTTTATCTCTTTGTGAAGATTAAGATTGGTACTACGTACATTACGACAAACAAGAATCTATGTAATGCAGAATTTTACCAATATTAAGTTAAACTATCTAAAGAGTCAGCAAATGGACATACTGCTGTTTTTCTTGCATCCATGATTCCCAATCACACAGAATCTTTTCATCCCATCAAAAAAAGAAATCAGATTTAGAAGTATATAATATGACAAAAACTTTTAATTACATACATCCGCCGTTTCTTTCATTATCTTGAGCTTATCTTTTATTTCCTGATTGTTAGCCATATTCAAAGCCAGATCAAGTGTTTTCCAATAATTATCAGAAGCTTTAGTTTTATGTGCTGGAAATGTATATCGAAAAAATGCGATTGGGGTTGGATCAGGACAAGCTAGCATCCAATTAATATTGCATTCTCTCCAAGTTAACTTGCACAATGATGATTTCATTCTTGAGTACAAAAAAATAGCAAGTTGAGTATCTTATCAAACAAAATACATGAAAAATTCAATAAATTGGGCCGTTCTTCACATAGGGCCGGCCATCGCTGGATGATGACTCGCAATTGCTTGCTTCCGACAGTTTCTCTCTGTCGCAGGCGCCCTTTTGTGTCAAACAAGCCCTCATAAAATCTGCGCAATGAAGTCAGCCGGCCATTGCTGGATGATGACTTGCCATTGCTGGCTTCTGACAGTTTCTCTCTGTTGCAGGCACTTCCTTCTTGCTTAACAGAAGCTATGCTCTCTATCACAGGCATTAAATAAGAGAAAACCGAGCCCACCTGATTGATACGTTGTTCGAAAGGCGGTGGTAAAAATTTTTTTACAGAGACAAGAGTAAATATTTCACAAAGAAAATGCATATGGCACGAGTTAGTTAATCAGATTTAGAATTTATAGTAACAGTCAGCAGGTCGTACAATTGCGTCATGCATGCAGAAGTTCCATGACTTTCGATTTTATTCTGTGGTATGTAATTCGAATTATTCAAATAATTTTCGTTGCACAGCCACATTAATGATTATCTGATCGATTATGCAGAGGGATTATCAAAATTTAATTCCTTCTTAATTCAATTCACACTGAAATATATATGACATAAATAATAGTGCTTCTTCTTTTATGGCAATATGAATACAATTAAAAGGGTGAACATATATACTGGAAATTACGTTTAATCAAGAAGGAATATAATATTTTTTTATTATTTTTCTAAATCGTTGCTAACATTATTTCTTGGAGTAT